TTGAAATTTTGATGTGCCGAGGCTTGCGGTGGTCCAGTGCACAAGGCTCTGTCCTGCGAATCAGACTTCCCAGCAGCATTTTTTTTTCCTGTTTCCTTGCTCCGCTGGAGTCTACATCCATCGCTGCTCCTGAAGTTCTGTTAGTATCTTTCCAGGTGATCTTTATGAAGCTAGCAGCCTGGTCAGCCAAGTATTTGCGAATTCACTCTCATGCTGCTTGTCCCAGATAACCCCTTAGACTTGGAGTATGTGCTCTCCTCATCAGCCTTTCCGTCTCCGCCTTCCCCCTCAAGCTTTAACGGTTCTGCTTGCTCTTTCTGTCCCCGTCCTGCATTTGGAAGGGTGCAGACAATATTTAGGGCAGAATATTTAGTCCGCAGGAGGCCGGGGTGGTGAGCGGTGTTCCTTGGTCAGGCTTGAGCCTTGGCTGAGGAAGGTGCCGCAGAGACAACGCCGAGGAGGGGCTGGGGATGCCGCTGCGTGACGAAGAGCGGGACGGAAGGGGCTGCAGCTCAGGGGGGCATTAATGGGTAAGTAGCCGTGTGATTTGTCTTTAGTTATGAGACACATATTATTCTCACTGGGGAAATAAAAATGCACTGTGAAAAACAAATTGTATAAACAGCACCATTTATACATGGTGTTAACCATGCATGTTAAGCATAGCTGCTAACAAAATGAGTTTACCAGCTAGGCTGATTATAAGCAGCTCATTTCATATGAGGTTTTTTTTAAAAGCACGGTGACCGAGTCGCCAAGCATACGAGCACTTACTAAGCAGAACATTTTGTGACTAAAACTGCGGAAGTACAAAGATAAAAGAGGATGTTAAAATATCTCGTATAAGCCAAAATGCATTTACAGGAGCAGATGTACAGTAGTAACTCGTATTAAACATAGTATCCAGGTGTTAGTTGTGGTCAGTGGGTTCCTAAATAAAATAGTATTCTATAAATGAATCTACTGTATGCATTTAATAGCACATTCAAAGCTCATCTTGTGACATCTTTGCTTTCTAACAGTATTAAAATAAAGAAGAATGGGAATATATAAAATTAACATATACAAGTCTAGCATACATTAATGCTATCTGCATTAAAATGAGACAATCTTAAAACAGTGGCTCTTGCTGAGCTTAGACAAACCGCGTAACAGCTCAGCAGCTTTCTGGCTGTATCTCTTCATGGGTATGTTCTACCGTTTTGATGTTTATTCATTTCCTTATTAGAATTATTCCCATCAGATTTTTGTGCTTCCCATCAGTTATTTCCACTTTGGTTTTGACACATAATACATGTGTCTGCCAGAAGTCCTGGTGAGAGATTGCTCTCAGGACAAAAGGAAGTGTTAGAAAGTCTATTAAGTGGTGAGAAGAGAGCAGAGTCCACAGGGACAGTCCGTCTGCAACCTTTGTGCTGCAGAGAAAGCGGGATTTATTTATGATTTAGTCTGCTGCAGGCTTTCAAATAAATGTGTCAGATTTCATTCATTTCCCTTTGTCTGTGACATCTGATTGTCCTTGTCCA